ACGATCGTGCTATCATCTGGTTTGTGATGATGTCGCTGACATTGTGCGTTTTTTCCATGGGTGAGTGAAGTTGAGAGCGATGCTTGCTCCCGGCGAGGAACTGACATATCGGTCCAATTCCAGAGGGCGAGTCCACAGTTAACTACATGTTTATGCGGAAACAGTTCGACTATACAGTCCAGGACTACAGTGTGTTCAATGCGGCAAGGGCGGTCATTCAAGTGGTTGGCAGTACCATCGCCATGATCCTACTGCGTCGTCTTCTTGGACTGTCCACCATCACGATGACCCTCCTAGCCTTTGCCTGTTGTGTTCTTGAGAGCACAGTCAGAGCCACGGCCGTATATGGCAGCGAGATGTACTTGGCCCTCATAGTGGGCATGATGCGGGGCGTCATGTCGCCCATGTGCAAGGCCATCCTGTCGCACGTGACTCCCAGCTCGGAGTTGGGTGAGTCCGAGGGATCACAAGGACCTTCTTTATACTAAAACCTCTTCCACTCATAGGTAAAATCTTTTCCTTAACTACTTCCCTGCAGTCCATCTCCCCTTTAGGAGCGGCGCCTCTCTATACGGCCGTATACCAGGCCACAGTCGACTTTTATCCGGGCATCTTTAACTTCATCAGTGTGGGACTGTACTTCCTGTGTTACTGCATGTCGGCGTGAGTGTTCCTTATGAATCCCGAAATCCGAAATTTGTATTATTCCTACAACCTCCCATTGCAGCGCGGTCTTCGGCATTCAAAAGTCAATGGGCAGCAACAGTGTTTACCAGGCCATAGGAAGTTGACCTAGAAAGACATAAGGCATTGGAATAGAACCCAATGGAGGTGTGAACCATTCACAGGCCAGTGTATCAATATGATGTTCAATACGTATGTACATATATAAGTATTATTGCGGAGATGTATTTGCTTGGCCAATTAGGCTAAGCCCTTACCAATGTAAATAGCAAGCTGTAGGGTAGGAATTATTAGGTCAGCCATAGAACATTCACCAAAGAGTTAGGTTTAATTAATAAATATATATTTTTATTTTGTGAAAATTTATTTTGTAAATGAACTGGAGAAAAATGGTAAAATATATTTTCCAATTTTTTATTTTATCTTGAAGTTCCCCGGCTATTCCTGAACTCTTAAACGACGAAGATATTTCATAAATTCTATTGAGATTGGGTGTGCCAAAACGTTTGGGACATATCCATAGAAATTGGCAATACAAATAAAGTGTATTAACTTTCTAGCTTTTGCGGTTCCCGAAATCTCGACGTTCATATGGACGGACAGGGCCAGACTGAGTCAGCTAGTGATCCTGATAAAGAGATATTTCCTTGTGATATTTCCTTTTTCAAATGATATTACCCAGCTAATGAAAGTGTGAAGTGGTGCGATTTTTTAATTGACTACTCTAAGAGTATAGCTTCATAAATAGCTAGGTACAAATTTAAAACAAATTACAAATAATTTAACATATTAACAAACAAGTCTAAAGATCCATTCGTTCATTTTATATGACTCATCTACAACTGATGAACCCCAAAGTTAGGCGCCTGCTTTCGGACTCGCATCTTTAAATTCGCTCCACTTGTAAAACTTATTGCTTGGTTGGTTGAGGTGATCACGTGCTAATTTTGCGGTCGCCGCCTCACTTGAGAACCTTGGCGTAGTGCTGCTTGTACCTGTATTTGATCCGCAAGACATATCTGTGGAGGGGGAAATCGGGGAATGTGTGATCAATTAGCAGGCTTGCAGAGGGGCGACTCAGGGCGCTAGGCTCACCCGATAAACACGAACGAAAGCAGGTACAGGAACGAGCTGACGAAGTTGAACAGACCCGGGTAGGTGGTGAGCGATTGCTTATAGATGAGGGTGTACAAGGGTGCCGCCACTGCAATTAGCAGCAAAAGAGTCAGTAAAGTAGTCAACAATCAAACGACACTAGCCCCGCTTACCGAACGGCGCGAACGACTGCAAAACATTCTTGATGGAGAAAATCTTGCCTGCGGTGGGGGAGAGGTAAAATAGTTAAGTTAGTTTTCTGGAAAAGAACAGCTGTGCTTCTGGGCTTATCCCGTGGCAATCAATCACGAAACTCACCCAGATCCGAGGGAGGCACTATGTTCGATACTATCGTGCGGCACATGGGACCTGAGATGGAGCGGAAGACGCCCAGGGTCACCGAAAGGTACATGTGCCAGGGCATCGTTGCAAAGCCCTTGGCCAGGTTGTTCAGAATCTCCGAAAAGAAGGCAAGTAGTGCCAGGGTCACAACCGACAGGCGAAAGACCTGTAACGAAAGGAAACCGCAATCATATGTATACCGAATGCCCCACGTTGGGCGCCATTTTAAAAGCTCACCTTCCGCAGAATAAGAAACCCGATGAGTGCGCCGATCATGGGAATCAGGTGGCTGACCGTCTCGAAGAACGTGTAGTCCCGCACGGTCCAGTGGAATTTCTCGCGGACGAATAGGTACATCACGGTCATCACTCCATCTGAAAGCGGTTGACTTAATCAGCTAAGAATTAATAGAAAGATCATGCCAAGCCTCACCGAATACAAAGATGGACAGAAACATGGCCAGGGTAACCAGCCAGATGATGGCGCGCGCGTGATGATCGCGTCGCTTGAAGCATGTGCTGATCATGTCTCTGATGTGGACCATACTGAACAGACCCGCCTTCTTGGCCTGCTCTTCGGCCTCCTGGCGCTTGCGCTCCTCCGCCTTCTGAGGCAGCCGCTCCACATACTTTGCCAACAGGTCTTCGTCGAAGCTCATCGCAGGAGTTGCCGGTGTGGGCAACTCCATCCTCTTCTGCTTCTCAGGGTCCTCATCGTTCATGAAGTTCGGTGGACAGTCAATCCCAACGCGGTCCAACTGGAGGTCACAGGCGGTTATAGGCACTTTGTTTTCGATGCACTCCTTTTCCCCCTTTGCAGCCATCGCATTCTTGGTCTCCTGTTCCTTATGGTAATGCAAGCTCTCCGGCACAAAGAAGATGATGAATAGCGTTGCGAAGGTAACGATGCAGCCGGAAAGGCCGATGGTCGCCGACGATCCTACAGCCGCGTACACAAAGCTGGACAACAGAGATCCACTTGTCAGCCCAATGAAAAATAGCGACTCCATGAAGATCATGCGATAGGGACGCGACTTGCAGTCCGTGATGTCCGAGATAAAGCAGAAGGCGGCCACCGAGAAGACGCAGTTGCCGCCGAGCAGGGAGTGGGGCACTGCAGCCAGGATGTACCACCAAGGATTCACCACATAGTAGCTGGACAACTCGCAGATGGCGGCCATCATCAGGAACGATGCAGAGAATCCTGCGTAGGAAGAAAAACATATGAGTGGTCTATTTTCTTTTTCACGATCAGCGTTTGAACAACTCGACACATCTACTTTATTTGAGCTTTAACATATGTTGCACTGGAATTAAAACTCTGATACGCACTTTCTCTTCTCAAACCGAGGCTTAAAACTTTTATATACACATACTTTTATATATATAAAGAAAGTATAGAATTGATTACAAAGACTTTTCGCTATGAAATGCTTACTTAGAGAAGCTCGGTTGTGTTTACGCTTTTGCGCATTATTGTAAAACAATCATCAGTTAACACGATCGGGTAGAACTTAAAAAAACAGGTCTCACCTATCATGGAAACAATCAGTAGGGGTTTGCGTCCATAGTGATCCGACCAGGAGCCGATGAACAGACCGCAGAAGGCCGGAACGATACTCTCTAGGAGGGTGCGGGCTAGGAACAGATTGGCCACATACGGCTGCAGCAGCGTCTCAATGGCCTGCAAAGCGGAGGAGTAGGATCAGATCAGAGTGGACTTGTGGCTTCAGCCGTACTGCAACCCACATTGATCTCTGCACTGGCGTTCTTCACATCCAGCTGCTTGCAGTCGCTCTCATTGTAGTGGAATATCACCGTGCACGTCTGGTAGATGACCTGGTTGCGCTGGATAGTGCCTGACCAAGATGCCGATGTGGTAATAGATTTCAGGTAGCAAATTCGGCGGACTGCCGGGTCACTCACCCGATAGCGTGTGCGAGAACAGCAGCATGAACACAACCGGTTCGATGTAAAACATATGAAACACCTTGTCCCATTGCAGGTTGCGAAGCTTTTCCAGTGTAAACGCATTTGAAGCCTTCTCGACCATGGTTATTTCCTTAGTGGACCTTTTTTGAGTACTTCAATAACTTCAATTGCCGAACTTGTTGGCTCCACAGTGGCTCATTGCAACCACTGTCACGTAAGCGCAGTTCCAACGAGAGGAAACCCCCCAGATTTATGGTTTACTAATGCCAAGTTCGATTATAATTAAAGCTTTTGAATGCCGCGGTAGTCGGAAACACGAAACCGAAATCCACTTCCAATCCGACGGCGACGATACAAATAGAGTTTCGTTCTCGAAATGAGCGACTACCGCGAAATCCGTGTGTTTTTATAGCGGGCCTCTCGGCGACGGAGGAACCGGCAACACATAGGCACTCTCCAGGTAAACAGTCGCACTGGGGAACAGTTGTTCATCTAGGGCCGCATCAGTTCCAGCGGCCAGCTTTGTTGGATTCACGTGAAATTGCATTCCCCGGCGGAAAATATGGAAAAATATGGGAAAATTTGTCGCAGTTATATGCCGCTTGGCCAGATTCGAGTCCAAGCAAATGGAGCTCGGTCAAACTGCATTCCGGACTGGCCAAATGGAGTCGGAGCCCAACCTTACCAGCTCAACTCACTGAAAGTTGGGTAGGGGAAACGTGAGAAACGCAGCTTGGATGCTTCGTTTGATTTCATCTTTGGAACGTGCAAATGAGTAGCACGAGCCGGAGCCATGGGAGTCTGAAAAGTGGTTAGTAGTTTCACAGACCGATGCCCGAAATAACCGGAGAGAATTAGCGATGAAATAAAGGTATTTATGCATTTTTTACCACATGTAATTGTTTTGAAAAGTCTATGCATCGAATGGCTTTTATTTACTTCCACTGTTTTTATCAGGAAATAAACCAAATAAATCGCAAAATTGAATATTAGGCTTATGCAAGAATAAAATACCATAGTAATAATTGTATTTGATGTTGATAATTTTGTACATTCGTTTTAATTGGGCTGATGACAATTCATGCGATAGGGTCGGCTCCAATCCACACGGAGATGCAGGGATTTCGTTCTGCTCCGTTGGGGCACTAAATTCGTGCGTAAATTGAGTTTCATTCGGTTTTCGCGTATGGCGACCATAATACCGATCTTGATCAAGGGTGTAAAAAACCTGGCGACTAATTTAAAATTAGCGAGTGGAATTAGCGTTCGCTCAAATCCGTAGTTAGCACCAGTCGTTGGGCATACAAAAGTATGCACATCCTAACATTTTTATAGATATTCCGTAAGAATTGTCAAGTGACTCCGCACACGCCACAGCTTTGCTGCAATAATAACCCACATTTTTGTTAATGAGAAAATATTTTGCTTCTGTAATTAAACGATTTTTCCCCAGGGAAGGAGAGTAAGATCTCCAGATACTAGCCAAGCGCAATTCCAAAAACTCTAATCTCCGCATGAATTTGTATAGGTTACTGCGCCGCAATTGAGTATGTAAATAAGTTTGAATAGACGGATGAGTGGACTTTGCGTTAAGAGGTAGTCGAGGGAGTTCCCAAAGGCAGTCCACCGTGTAACTGATAGCCAAATCTGGGCATGACTGGCGCTTTCTTCCATTCCTCTCGAAACTGTGATTCGGTCATAAATCATTTAAAAACCGGCTCATAGTACGCCTGATTTCTCGAGTTTTTTTGCCAAACCGTGCTGAAAAATTGCACATATCGAGTATATTGGAAAGTAATCGTATATTGGTCAAAGCAACGTACCCCAGCAGAACAATACCTATGCCAAATAAAAAGGCGCTAAACACATTGAAAATGCCCGGCTCCGTGTTCAGTGTTTGGGTGTAGATGGCAACGTACAAAGTGGAAGATATGAGGGGGGAAAGTGCTTGCGAGACCCCAAGCAATGCGAAGATTTTACCTGGAAAGGGAAACCACAGAAGTGTGTGAAGAACATCGCCATAAAGTGCCATCTATACTTACCCCGTTCATCAGCCGGCAGCAGATTGGTGATCATGGAGCGGCACATGGGGTTCGCAAGGGACTTGAAAACCCCCAACCCAATGGCTACGTAAATCTGCCAGCTCTCCCAGGCGAAGCCCTTCATCAGGCTGCTGGCGCAGTGGCTCATCAGAGACACCATTGCCAGCCACAGGACCGCCGACTTGGTGCACTGCCAGTCATAGGGGTAGGTCAGGAAAATGAGTCAGCACCACATACGTGTACTACTCACCTTGCGGAGGGACCAAATGAAGAAAACTCCTCCTGATCCAGCCACTGCCGGGACCAAAATGCCGACGGTCTCGTATTCAGTGAACTGCTTTACGGTCCAATGGAACTTTATCCTCATAAACTTATAGAACACGGCGTTGCTGCCGTCTAGTGATAGAGCACAGATCGCAAAATTAAGTATTTCAAACCGAGACCTTTGCCAATGCCTATCCGCAAACAAGGGACGAGGCAATGAATGACAACCCCCCATTTCAGCGTTTCAATCAAATTATGAAATCTTAATGTGCAAATGCGGTATAGGTAGTTAAACGTTTTCAGGGTTTTCCCGTATGATCACCTCGACTTTAAACGACGCTTGCATGTTAAATTATAATTTTTGGAACTTGCCTGATACAAATGCAGTGAGGAGCAGTACTACCATGATGGTAATGAGCATGAAGCGATTGTGGTGCTCCCGGGGCTTAGAGCAGGTGGTCCCCAAACTTTTCAGCATGGAAACCACACTAGTGTCAGTCGATGAAGTTGATAGTGTCCTATTCGAGACGGGCAAACTCTCCGGAAGAAGGAGTGCCATCAGAAGGAGAGCCGTGAAAACGCAAGCTGCGGAAATGCTGAACACAATGTAGGCGTCTGTGGCCTCGTATGCATAACCAGATCCAAGGCTACCAAGGAGCAGGCCCACATATATGGCCAATTCATAGGCGATCATCCTACGGTGAATAAACATATATGAGTAGTAACAAATCCACTGGATTACTTGGCTAACTACCTGTAAGATCGAGCTCTGCCGTCGGAGACGTCGGCAATAAAGCAGACGGCAGCCACTGAATAGGTGACACTACTTCCCAAGCAGGAGAGCGGCACGATGGAGAGCACATACCACCAGGGACTGACAAGACCTTGGGTGTGCATGGCACAGTAGGCAATCGCAGCTGAAATGAGATACTGAAGGCCGTAGCCTGATTCACAGATTAAGAGAATAAGCATCTTCTGACTAGCGGGGCATCACACCCACCTAGAAAGGAGCCCAAGAGAAGGGGCTTGCGTCCAAAGCGGTCCGCCCAGGATCCAGCAAAGAGTCCACAAAAAGCAGGAATAAAGCACTCCACTAACCGCATAGCCAGCGTGACCTTTGCAGCATATGGTTGTACCTGCTGCTCAATTTTCTGGAAAACAGGATATTAAATGATTTGTTATTGCCCTCTCCGGAGTTATAATCTCAACCATTGTCTCATTCGTGGTGTTTTTGGTGCCCAGAAGCTGGCAAACGCTGTCCGGATACCCGAAACCCGCCGTGCAGCTTTGGTAGATTACTTTATTCTTCAGAACAGTTGCTGAAATCCGCGGGAGTATACAAAGCTATATTGATACTAATGCTCTAAGATCACTTCACTGGACTTACATGAAAAGTTGTAGGCAAAGAGCAGGATCAAAATAAATGGTTCCAGAAGATATATGCCCAGTGACTGGGGGGGATTTACTGGAAGTTCTTCATCCGCTGCAATGGCTGACGCTTCGGAACCGCGACTCTTCTCGCTACCTGTGCTGCCAACTTCCGGATCCGCATCGCCGGATCTTTGGGCTTTGGCAACCGGATTTTCAAAGGCGTGAGGCTCCTCGTTCATCTCTGTAACTCAACTGAGTCTTGAAGTTGATTCATTGCTTCCAACGAGAGGGGACAAGATTACAAATAAAGAGACGGGATGGAAGCTCTCTTTACAGGGATTTCCAGTCAGAGCGCACATGTGTACATAAAGTATGCTCTCCTATTGTGAAGTGTCTTATCATAAAAGAGCAAAATTAGTTCACATATCATTTATTCACTTTAGTATTTATTCGACTTCAATATTTTATTCTTATATAATTAATATAATAATTTATTCACTTTTATTTATTCGTTTATTTATTTATTTCATCCTTAACGTGTTGACAAAATTTATTTAGCATCTTAGGATTATTTTGGATGACCAATTTTTTCAGCCAATATCGGGAGACCACTGTATTTCTGTTGTGATCCCCACACGTGAGTCAGTTGCAAACTGAGCATTTCCTCTTAGAATTCTTTTTATTGGCACAACGTGCCGTATCTGAATTAAGAGCTGTGTTGGAGCTGCAAAACAAAAGATAAACACTCATTAATATGCATGTTGTGAATCGAGTGCAAACTTAGATTAGTTAATCAATGATCGACTCTTGCATTAGAGTCGCACATTGAGCCGCAATTTCATTTCATTTATGTAGTTCTGTGTTTGACAACTACAAGTGAAATTATAAGATTCAAAATATGTAATTACATTTATTTTACTGATGGGCGGAATTTGAAATTAGCCGCACTGTTATCGATAATTGGTAAATTGGGCAAAATATCGTCGACGATAGTTTAATTTCGATATATTGTTGAAAATAATATAAATAAAATAAAGGCGCCCAAAATGGACCTCAAGCTTATGATTTTGCAAACATGCACGGGGAAATTGCTATCCGAATACCAATTAAATTTACTCAGTAAAAACAACATAGGGTCCCTGATCGACTTTTATGATGCGGATGAGAAGAAACTCCACGAGCTATGGGCCATTAATATACAATCTGTTCGAGAATTGAAGAAGGAATTATCTCTGTTGCCAAAAGGCTCCGATGGTGAGGTTAGTCCGGACTTGAATTACGGGACGGGAATCGAAGAGTAAGTTTTTGTAACATTGTACCAGGACTTTGATTCTATAGATCTTACCACAAGCCAGGTTAGACAAACTGTTGGACTCCGTGGAGCAGCCCTTCAAGCCAGGCAGGATCTGGGAGCTCTGTGGTCAACCAGGTGTGGGCAAGACCCAGCTGTTGTACACGTTGGCCTTTAATTTCGTTTGGAAGCATACCCAACCAGTATTATTCATAGACACCAAGCGGGAATTCTCCTGTAAGAGGATACAGGACATGCTCCGGGCCAGGGAAGGGGATGTAGAAGCCCGTGAAGCGGTCATGAGAGGAATCCAGGTCGTGCAGGCTGCTTCTGGTGCTGATATAAATGAACTGCTAAAATCCTATGATCAGCAATTGACCGCCGAAGAACCGGCTTCCATGCAAACGAAGTTGGTGCTTATTGATTCTCTTGCCGCTTGCTTTGCTTACCACCGCGGCAGAAGGATGCGGGACGTCAAAAAGTCAGTGCTGACAGAATTGGCTTGCAGGATCCGGAGGCTCGCTCTCAGGGGCGTGGCTTTTATCATCGGGAATGTGTCATTCTTTGGAAACGATAAAGGTATGTTTTACCTTTGCTTGTTTTACTTGTACATTACGGCATTAAAACTATTTACAACTTCATCTTAACAGATACTTGTGGTGATGACGGCGAGAAAGATGGCGACGATGAGGAAATGACGCGACAGCAGTTGGAACCCATGCTGGGTACCTATTGGAGCTCGGTTGCCACGCTCAGATTGTCGGTGGAGCTTCCAGAGGAAGAGGACTTCACCCTTCAGGACGATGGCCTACGTTTCATGTACGTCATCTCGAACACCTATGGTCCTGATGGTAAGCACTGCCTGCTGCGCATCACGGATGCAGGTGTGGTTTAACGCCGGGAAAATGGGTTCTGCGGATTGTGTTGTTTGTAGGACTTTAGAACCCGTTTGCCCGGCTCCAGAGCATCGCCCAGACCCGGACGCTTACGCTTGTTGGAATTACCCGGAGTAGCCTCTACGACCACAGGCACTGAATGATCCGGTAATGCAACCTTCTCCGCCGCTTCATCCACCGACAAGTCAGAATCGTGGGCATACTGACAACTGGTGCCAAAGCGGCAGCGTCCTCGTCTAAAGTTCCAGCAAATCTTACGGCCGTTCTTCAACTTTTGGTGCGCGTCGTTTTCTACCATCTTCACGTGCCGCTCCAGTGACGCGGTTTTGTGCAGCTCGGCCTCCAGAAAGGGATTGCTGAACACATCCCCCTTTCCAGCTCCTTGGGCAAGAGCTTGGCTCGCACTGGGCAACTTGGGAGCAGGAGTCTTCTCTTTTTCGGCTGGTGGCACACTGAAAATGTACAAGGATCTGAATCCCATATCATACTTCAGGTACAAAACAATGCCACCTTTTGGTTTCCCCGTCTTCGGAAGATTGACTACAGCTGTCTTCATCGGACTCGGAGGAGTTGCTATAATCTGCCACAAGCGACATTATTTTTGTTTTGTTTATAACTCTAGCCAAAGCAATGTGCTGGGAAAAATAATCTAACGCGTTTTTCTTCGCCACATAAAAATACCGAAAATATACCTTTTAATACTCACCCTGCACTTAACAAAAAAAAGAGTATTTAGCGTAAATTATTTTAAGCCCCTTTAAAAAATTAAAACCAGTTACTGGTTGACTCCTAATGGTGGCAAGAAATTGCTCTATTTTTATTATTTTCTGAGGTTGATTGAGGCTCCGATTTTTAACCAGTAAGATTGAATTAACGTATGTAAATAGTCACTTTTGGGGTTTTCATTTGTAATGAATCGGCTTTATTCCATAATATGTATAATCACTTTATGCATGCTCTAGTTAGGTTGTTTATGCGCGGTGTATAAACTAACAACTAATTATTTATACAGTTGGTTTTTTATAAATATAAAAAATGAAACTTTGTTACAGATTAATAATATGTTGGCTCACTATTACCGCATCTGCCTTTTTCAAGCTACGTACAATTGGCTGCGAGTGTACAAAATAAAAGAAAGTTTAATACAATAATTGGGGGCAACCCGTGCAAGTCCGTGTCCGTTTTCTGATTCCGTGGCAATCGAAGGCTCCATGCTAGCGTAATCTTAAATACCAGCCTAAGCTTTAGCCTTGGTCCGGCGGATAACACGTCGTTAGTCGATGGGTGGACGGGCCGAAGGATCATCGCGGTCGATGGGCGGTGGTGAGGTGAGCACTTCTACGCTTTGCGCAGGACCCGCTGTCAGGTAGCCAGCCGTTGGATTGACTCCTTTAATAGGAAAAATTATACATACATACTTATAGGGCAGTACTATAAGAATCTTCCACCTACCCGTCAGATAGCCACGTATTGTGGTGTCGGCGATGAAAAGATCGTGGCGCTGATCCTTGAATTCGGCCCACACAGGGTGTTTGAGCAAAATCTGCGTGACCCGATCGCCGTAATTGAGATTGTGCGTCATGCCTTTAAGAGCCGCCACAATTTGGGCCTTAACCGCCGATGGATTGTCCACGAACTCCAGACGGCTGTCCAGTAGCCCCAGTAGAAAAGGTATAAGTCCCACCTCCAGAGATTGACTGATTAACGAGTCCTGATAGATAGTAAATAATACATTTAAGGATTGGTAGACAAGTTGAAATCTTGAAAGCTGAGTCGTTTTTAAATCAGTCTTAAACCTTTAAACCAATGTAATTCCATTCAGAATAAAACTCACATGCTGGTGCTTAAAAAGCCGGCTTAGAGCCTCGCAGGCCTTCTCGATGCAATCCCTATTGTGCTCCATACACTTTTTTAATGGCGCCACACATTCCGTCTGTGAGATGGCACTCACGCAGAACTGAAACATAATATACGAAACTTAAGCGAATCTTCAATCAAAATGTTAATAGTACCCAACCTCAGACAGCGAGAGCTGATGTAATACTGATAGCGTGTTTTTTGGCTGCACTGAGAGCAGATTGAACAGCTTTGGTATATGTCCAAGCACAGGGATATCGTCCGCAAGGTTGGGCTGCGACCGTAAAAGCTCCACTAACGCAGTGGTGGACAGGTCTAGCACATCCTGCTCTGAGGAGCTCTTGCCGATCTGTTCGACGACAAAGTCCAAAAGGTCGGAAAGAAATTGCTTTGGCTTGCGAAGTGTCCAAGCGGGATTGCTGACAAACAGTCGGAGGTAGACGCCGGCCACAACGATTTCATTGGATACAATATCCTTAAGTATTTCCGGATCTTTCCACACATGCCGGGGATTCGCCTTTTGCAGCTGATAGAATCTGTGCGGGCAAAACATGAAGATTAAAAAAAAAAAACTAAATGCATTCCTTCTTTAAATACCTTTGACATGTATCGGCCACAGCATCACAGACATTCGAACGCGTGGTATCGTTCCAAATCAGTTCCGGATGCTCGTGTATGGACTCAAAGAGCTGCACGGACGTAGCTGGTGACTCCACCATAGCATCTATGAAAAGCGCTGGCAAGAACTTTGACACAGTGATTCGCACTTTGGGCCCGCTCAGACGATCCGCCGTCATCTTGGCCAAAATACCAGCGCACATCTCACGTATTTGCGGATTACGTGAGTTGCAAAACATATCCAGCAGGTAGATAGTGGCACCCTTGGCCTGGGCCTCCTTAATCATCTCTTGTACGTTCATCAGTCCTGATAGAGTTTCCAACACCTTCACTTGGCTGGCACGAAGCTCTGGGTCCTTGAGGGCCACTAGATAGTTTCCTAGAATCTCACAGGCTGCCACCTCCGAGACGCACTCCTTGTTACGCGAAACCAAAGAAACTACCTCCAAGGCCACCGTTTTAACAGTAGAGTTCTGAAAAGCAGAAAGTTATTAAGTATTCAACGAATTACAAAACCAAACCCTTACATCCGGGAATATGTTACTGGCCAAGAAACCAAATATCATATCAAAGTTTCCGATGCACTGAATTTCCACCTCGGCGTTTGCCTTGATCACCGCAATCAATGCTTTAAGCACCATGGTAATGTGAAGCTCAATCTTTCCATCGCTACTGAAGTCGTATTTGCTCTGCTGTAAGGCCAACTGCTGTTCCGTCAAGGCATCCGTCTCCAGCTTCTTCCGGCTCTTTGATCGGTTATAGGCAGTTAGAACCTCGTCGAACGTAGTGCCCGATTTTCCCGTCGTAGCCTGCTGAAGCTGAGGATGATTGGGCGCCAAAGTGGGGGTCAGGATGCCATCATTCCCCATTTTAGGAGTAACGCTGACAGGAGCGGCAGTTGATGGGGGGTTCTTTTTGTACTGCAGAAACTGATAAGCGTGCTTTAGGTACTCCAGCAGGTCCATGATGAAGAGCTTTGGCTGAGCGATAGGATGAGTTGGCATATCATTGTAGATGCGTATGAATATACCGCCGATCTGCAGCTCGTCCCTTAAGGATAAAATTAACGTTATATGCAACCTTTTTCATGTTCTGATCACTTACTTGTGTGCATCGAACTCAAAACTGGAAACCAGCTCAGAGACCTGGGCAATGTCCTCATGCGTCTCCTTGGCGGAGGTCGTTCGCTGCTGCTCGAGGAAATCCTTAAGCTGAGTGCGAGTTCCATTATCCCAGATGAGGTAGGGGTTACGTGTGTTTGCCGTAAGCAGCTTCAGCACATCACTGTCGCGAGCCGTGGCCAACTGGTTGGAAATGTAACGCGTTAGCAGACGATCGAGCACCTGCTTGATTAGGGAGTTTTTAGCCTCCCCCGTAACAATGTACTTCTGCTGGATGACGCTGGACCTGGTCTTTGTAAGCTGTTGCTGTTGCTCACTTTCGGTGGGTGTGGAACTAGCGGTGTCGCTGCTACCAGATGAGGTGTCTGACTCCTTTTCCTTTCCGCTCGTGATGGCCAACTGCTTGCTTTGCAGGGGATTGTGAGCGTTCTGCGTGTACGTTGAGCTTGAAGCTGCGGATACCGATGGCTTTGGTTTTATGGCTGGTGGCGCCTTAGTCGCTGGTGAGTTTGTCTCGCTTCCAGTCACCGGTTTCTGACGCAGCTCCATGCTGTAACCAGCTAAGGCGATACAACCGAGGACTGCCATCTTTGCAAGGTTGTTGGCCAGTTGCTGCTGGTTTGACTTATCGCTCACCTCCACTCCGCTTTCGTCAAGTGTGTAGTCATATTCGAAGACGAAAAGCAGCAGAGACCAGAGAACGCCGTTCCGAGACAGTTGACATTGCAGGTCGTAGTTATTGGCAGCGAGACTGGTCACCAGGCTTACCGATAGCGTATGTTTAAAATATACCACACGACAAACGTCAGATAGCAACTGTGGCAGCTGGATGATCTTCTGCTTGCACTTCTCAAAGTTACAGGCTACTTCGAAGCAACGTGTTACGTTTGATATGACTTGATAGTGCAGCGAGTCCGGCTTTGAGTCCACTCCCAGAATTGACACGCAACGGGTGTAGGCCTCCAAGAGCGCCTCAATGCCTTCCTCTCGCCGCAGTTCTTCAGCATTTAAGGCAGAGCAGTGAACCGTATGGTAACACAATTCAGAGGCAGCTGTTAGCAGTTGGGCTTCCTTTGAGAAGAGCTCATCATCTCGTGTCTCCAGACGGATGGTCTTAATGAGCTGCGGGTAGCCTGCGTACTTGTAGGGTCTCAAAACTATAAATAAAAATGTATGATTAAATCGATTTTTAATTCCTAAATAAAAATCTTTGGAACACTTACCATCCGGATACCGCTCAAAAAGTATGCTCTGTGTGCGAAGTATAAGCACAATATTATTGGGGTCTGGGCCACCCGAGCTCCACACGTTTCGAGAGCAAAGAAACTCATACGCCTAAAAATAATCGTTGAATTGTAGCATGGACTACCAGTCGGCTGGTCATTTACGCACCTGATTCACTTTTTCAAATATTTCGCGACCATTCGGATTTTTATCGGGATGATACATTTGCGCCAGCTTATAATAGCTCTTGCGAATCACAGACTCATCTGGCTTGGGAGTCTTGGTAAGGTCGATGCCTAAGTCCTGGTAAGCCTGTTGGATTGTCATCTGAGGTGGTTTCTTCTCTACCTCCTTGCGCCAAGCGTCAAGTGTGTGCTTTAAAAGCTGCACGGGATCAGATATGGGCCAGTTGGGGAACTTTTGAGTGTCGCACAAGTGACGCAGGTAATATATGTGACAGAAGAGCTCGTTCTCCAGTTGTGGGTAACTGATCACTGGAATGGCTAGGTACGGATACCTTGCCATTGTATGTCCACGAAGTCGAGGCGTAAAGTCTGCGATGTGTGCCGCTATCTTCTCTATTAGTAGACGTCGCATCTCGGAGCTCCATATTACCTCAGGGGTGTCAAACTCGCCAAGGAAAATTTCTGCAAACTTTTCTGCGCTGTAATTTTCCAGGAAACAAACCATAGCCTCGGGGAGAAGCTGACCGAGGATACTGCGGTGCATGATGCCAGATTGGGAGGTCTGCCAAGGAAATGAAAATGTGGATCATCATCATATCAAACATTTTTTAAGATCATTACCTCTTCGCTACGGAATCCCTGTTTCATATGCGTCATTTTGAGGAATCGAGTTATAGGTAAGATGTTGCTTCCTGTGTACATGAGCATGAAGTAGAAGACCCCCGTAAGGTACACCTTAGGCATCTCCGGATTGTCCTCCATAATCTGGTAGAGCAACGTAGCTACACGCTCCAGCAAGCCGGGATCATGGGTAAGGCAAACTTGTACCACATGCGGTAGGCAGATGAACTCCGAAAGTTTGCGAGACAACTTTGGACCTGGAATAAGAACTGCCACGCCATTTTGGGTACGACTCGGAAAGAAACTAGTGCACTTTATCAGTATGTCCAGAATCTTTGAGGACAATTCAGTCTCGTCGTAAAGCGGTGTTCCTTTAGCAATGAGACACCATTTTAGCTGCGGGATCTGCTGAAGCG